TAATCCCAGCACTTTAGGGGGCCAAAGCAGGCAGATTGCTTGAGCTCAGGAGTTCAAGACCAGCCTGGGCGACATGGCAAAATCCTGTCTCCACAAAAAAATACAAAAATTAGGCCAGGCACCGTAGCTCACGCCTGTAATCCCAGCACTTTGGGAGGCCAAGGCAGGTGGATCACAAGGTCAGGAGTTCAAGACCAGCCTGGTCAACATGGTGAAACCCTGTATCTACTAAAAACACAACATTTGCTGGGTATGGTGGCACGCACCTGTAATTCCAGCTACTTAGGAGGCTGAGGCATGAGAATTGCTTGAACCTGGGAGACAGAGGTTGTGGTGAACCAAGATTGTGCCATTGCACTCTAGCCTGGGCAACAAGAGTGGAAACTCTATCTCAAAAAAAAAAAAAAAAAGGAAAAGAAAAGAAAAGAAAATCCAGTGTTGATAAGTTGATTTCCCAAAGCAGATGAATTGGGAAGTTGGGTGTGGTGATTATTTACATTACATAGTAGCTACTGGTGGCCAGACGCTGTGGTTTACACCTATAATCCCAGCACTTTGGGAGGCTGAAGTGGGCGGATCACAAGGTCAGGAGATCGAGACCATCCTGGCTAACATGGTGAAACCCCGTCTCTACTAAAAATACAAAAAAAAATTAGCCGGGCGAGGTAGCAGGTGCCTGTACTCCCAGCTACTTGGGAGGCTGAGGCAGGAGAATGGCGTGAACCCGGGAGGCGGAGCTTGCAGTGAGCCGAGATCGTGCCACTGCACTCCAGCCTGGGTGACAGACCGAGACTCCATCTCAAAAAAAATAATAATAATTAAATAGCAGCTACTGGCTGGGCACGGTGGCTCACGCCTGTAATCCCAGCACCATGGGAGACTGAGGTGGCTGATTGCTTGAGGCCAGGAGTTCAAGATCAGCCTGGGCAACATGGTAAAACCCTATCTCTACAAAAACAAAACAAAACAAAAATTAGCTGGGCATGGTGGTGTGCACCTGTAGTCCCAGCTACTCAGGAGGCTAAGGTGGGAGGATCACTTGAGCCTGAGGAGGCTGAAGCTGCGGTGAGCTGTGATCGTGCCACTACACTCCAGCCTAGATGACAGAGTGAGACCTTGTCTCAAAAAAAAAAAAAAGAAAAGAAAAGAAAAAAAGTAGCTACCACTGATGCAGGACTCATTTACATACTTTATCTCAAGCAATTCTGACAACGCAATGAAATGTGTACTATCTATCCCATTCTTCAGATGAGGAACTTAAGGTTCAGAGAGCTTTAGCTCCTTCCTGAGGATTACTTTTCTACTAAGTGCCAGAGAGAACCAGCATTGAAAGCCAGATCGGTCTACCTCCAAAGACTATGCTCTTAAATTCTCCATTAGTCAGCTCCTCTGTGCAGTGGGATTTGATGCTTTACCAGAAATATCAAGACCGTAAATGCATCTTAAACACAATTTGATTTTCAAAGGTAGAAAAAAAAAGGAATGAAGTTTTACCAAGTGCCTATAGTATCCAGATAGTATGTCAGGGGATATGACTATGTCATTTTGTAAAAAATTAAATTTTATAAAATAATCTATTCTGGTGGAATATTTTCAAAATATACTTGTCAGTTAAAGTTAGGTTTACATGGCCAGGCACAGTGGCTCACGCCTGTAACCCCAACACTTTGGGAGGCCGAGGCAGATCACGAGGTCAGGAGATCGAGACCATCCTGGCTAACACAGAGAAACCCCGTCTCTACTAAAAATATAAAAATAATTAGCTGGGCGTGGTGGCAGGTGCCTGTAGTTCCAGCTACTCAGGAGGCTGAGGCAGGAGAATGGCGTGAATCCATGAGGCGGAGCTTGCAGTGAGCCAAGATTGTGCCACTGCACTCCAACCTGGATGACAGAGTGAGACTCCGTCTCAAAACAAATAAACAAACAAAAAAAGTTAGGTACACACATGCAAATCATCCCCCTCAAGTAGTCTCATAAACTAGTCAAAACTTTCCCAGGGCAGAGGGCAGATTTTGCTCCCTATTTTATCCCCTTTGTTCATAGAATATTTGTCTTAGGCCGATAAATAATTACTGAATGAATTAGTGTATAAAAATGTGAACCTATTTTGAGGACAGCCATCAGAAAGCCTTACTTCTTAAAATGAAAGTGGCTCACCCTGGCAACCAGACATGGAGATAGGGGGATTGCTCAATATACACCCAAAGTAGGTCTTATGCAGAAGACTTAAGAAAGATGAGAGCGAAAATAAGACAAGGATATGGAGATATGGTTTTTGAAACTTGAAAAACTATACTTTGTTTTTCTAATGCTTGTTTCTATTCAGATTGGGGAAATTAAAAGCTCTTACTAGTTCAAAGTTTTGCCTGATGAATATTACACCTACCCTTTTCAGGGATCTCAGTGAATGAGTCCGTCTGTGACTTTTTTTCAGCACTGTGATCCAAATGATATCCAAACATAACATTCCCCCTCCTACCCCCAACCCCTCAGTGCATGTGTGTTTGGTAAAGTTAATGTGTCTGGGGTGTTTGGTATTGGGAAGTTAACATTCATTTTTTTTTGGTTGGAAATGCAAATAGTTCATCAAATGTAATGCTTTTGGTGAACCAGAGATTGAAAGAATGAACCAATTTTGAAGACAGTAATCATGGACTTGATTTGCAGCTTAAGAAAGGTCATTTCTGCTGAGTAGTATCCTGAAGCAAATACTACTAAGGGAAGCTACGAACTTTCTAGACTTAACTTTCTTAAAACAATGGATAAACATCCCTCTTGAGAAATGCAGGTATTCACATGCTTAAAGACAGAGGTTTGGTACATATGCTTTTTTTTTTTTTTTTTTTTCCCCCGAGACAGGGTCTTGCTTTATTGCCTAGACTGGAGTGTAGTGGCACAGTCATAGCTCACTGCAGCCTCAGCCTCCCTAAGTGTTGGGATTACAGATGTGAGCCTCTGCGCCTGGCCTGCAGATGCTATCTTAAGGGTGCTTGCAGGCCTCTGGTGTGGTCAGAGCTCATGGGCTGTAAAGTCATAAATAAGTTATCTGCTCTGTGTTTCTAAATGAATCTCTGTCTGCCCTTATGTCTTCAGGCCAATAGCAGAGAGCAGTAGCCTTAGGAAGTGGAAATAATCAATGGGCTCAGAGTTCTTCACTGCCTGCTCCACACATTAAAATTCAGTATCCCAGTTAGATTGTTCCAGGGACACTCCCTCCCTTCTTTCCTTTCTTCCACTGACGCATTCATCCATTCATTCAACAAACATTGATGGAGCCCCTCTGGTGAGAGGAAACACACAAATAAACCCTTAGAGTCCAGTGTGCAATCGAGGGTTAGAGCGGTGCACAGCTTTTGGAAGAGCAGAGTGGAGGGACACCTGACTGTTGGCAGTCAGGGGCAAGATTTTCCTAGAGGAAGGGAGCTTGAACTGAGCCTTTAAACTGTTTTTTTTTTTTTTTTTTTTTTGAGACAGATTCTCACTCTGTTGCCCAGATTGGAGCACAGTGGTGCTATCTTGGCTCACCCCAACCTCTGATTCCCAGGCTCAAGCGATTCTCCTGCCTCAGCCTCCTGAATAATTGGGATTACAGGCATGTGCCACTACCGCCCAGCTAATTTTCGTATTTTTAGTAGAGACAGCGTTCACCATGTTGGCCAGCCTGGTCTTGAACTCCTGACCTCAAATGATCCACCCACCGCCGCTTCCTAAAGTGCTGGGATTATAGTCGTGACTCACTGCACCTGAGCTGAGCCTTTAAGAATACAAGAAAAGTTTACTAGGAAGAAAAGAAATGGTAAGGCTGTCCAGGTTCTCATACCATGTGTGAAAGCATGGGCGTGGGGGTGGAGAGGAGAAGTAGGCAGGGGGAATTGTGGCAGAGGCCAAGAAGGGAAGTAACCCTGCTTGGGCTCTAGACTGTGTGTAGAGCCATGATGAGAGATAAGGTCAGATAAGAATAACAATTGCTAACATTTATTGAACACCTGCTATTTTCCAGGCACTGTTCTAATGGATTTATGTGTTTTGACTTAGTTAATCATGGCAACAGCCTTATGAGGTGTGTATAAATATTACTACTGTTTTTCAGATTCACAGGGAGATCAAGTATTTTGCCCAAGAGCACACAGCTAGGAAGTGGAGAAGTCCCGGTTCAACCCAGACAGATCGACTCCTTCCTTCCACTGATGCAGTCATCCATTCATTCGACAAACATTGATGGAGCCCCTCTGGTGAGAGGAAACACACAAGTAAGCCGTTAAGAGTTCAGTGTGCAATCAAGGGTTAGAGCTGTGCACAGCTTTTGGAAGAACAGAGTGGAGGGACACCTGACTGTTGGCAGTCAGGGGCAAGATTTTCCTAAAGGAAGGGAGCTTGAGCTGAGCCTTTAAAGTTTTTTTTTTTTTTTTTTTTTTTTTTAGAGACAGATTCTCACTCTGTTTTCCAGACTGGAGCACAGTGGTGCCATCTCTGCTCACCCCAACCTCTGCCTCCCAGGCTCAAACGATTCTCCTGCCTCAGCCTCCTGAATAATTGGGATTACAGACATGTGCCACTACCGCCCAGCACTCACAGAATATTTATGGAAGAAACAACAAATGAATTTATTGATTTTTATCTATTAATTATATGGAAGTGAATTCAGACTTCTTCAGGGTTATGCTTACCTTTGCTTTTGAGATGTAAATTAGCAAAAACGAGATTCCACTAAAACCTTGTCACATATATATATTTGGAAATCTGTGAAATGGTCAACCCCAAACCAAAATTTACATAAGATTAACTTATTTCTTTCAAATTTACAACCAACGGATTGTGGTGTGTGTGTGTGTGTGTGTGTGCGTGTGTTCCATTTGTAGCATGTGTAGTTGCTTTATCTAATATGTACATTCTCTAATTCACAGATGGTTCCAACTTCCTACTCTTCCAGTTAAAATAAACAAAAAGGAGGGTCCTGAGTGTTTATGATTTTCATAAGATCTATGGTATTTCTTCTGCAGATGATCAACAGTTGCCTGCCTTGGAATTTGGAGTTCGCAAGAACTAGGTAGGTAATGCAATTAGGTCACACTGACATTCAGGGATGGAATTTCCCCAGTGACATTAATGCATCCATTGCTTCCTATATATTTCAGTGTCATAAACAAAGTTGTTCTTTCCTTTGCAAGAAGAAAAGAGCACGGTGGAAACAGAGAAGTGTGTCTTCTGTTTGGTCAGCAAGGCAGGAAAGGCCTTGTGTGCTCTGTCCGTCAACACTGATAAGCTATGACATCAGGAGACTGGGAGGATCCCCAGCTGTTCCACCTACACTGGGTCCCAGGGCGCGTGATCCTGCTCAGGAAGCACGGGGAGCTCAAACGGAAAGATGAGCATCATGAACACAATAAGTCTACTCGGACTTTCTTAAATTATTTGAGTATCCATATATTTGACTTCAAGAGACCTTTATTTTCTGGGTTTCTTCCTTGTAGCTCAAAGAGTACGTGCTTTGAGCATTTCAGTTGGTGCAGCCCCTCTACAAAAGCCTTCCTTCAAAAGAGTCAAAATCTTAAAGAATCTAGCAAAACTAGAACAAGATGCATCATAATTGGTTTCTATGAATTAAGAAACAATTGATTTTTAACTTCTTAAGCATATTTGTGGTTAAGTATGATAGTATTTGATTTCTTAAGTATATTTGTGGTTATGTATAATAGTGTTTGATGCATTTTATTCCATTGCGAAGAGTATTAATGATTATAACTAACAAGTTTTATGTGCTTTATGGTTTCAAATGCCTCCTACAAAGTTTATATTCGCTCATTTGGTTCTCTTTAGCCCTCTCTGAAATGAAGAAAACTATCATTATCCTACTTTTACAGATGAGGAGACTGGAGTTCAGGGAACATACTAGGCTAAGGGTTTTGCCTTAGAGGCAGCCTGTGAAAAGTAAAGGAGCAAGAACTTGAACCTAGTTCAACTTCCAAAACCCATTCTTCTCTTATCCACTCAATGGATAAATCAAGAAAGAGGTGAGAAACTTATTCTTGAGTGTCCAACGCGGGCTAGGTAATTTTATACATACTATTTCATTTAGAAACTACAGGTTGGGAACTATTATCAGGGATAAAGAAATGAAGATTCCAAGAGGACCAATAACTTAACAGATGCTTGGTAAATGATTGAGCCCTGCTAGTGAAAAATAACAGGGAACTCTGGGAGAAAAGATGTTCTTGAACTATATCAGCTTACTGAAATTTGTTAGGAGTGCAAACCTAGGCAGAATATCTCACAAAAGGAAGCTTATTTGTAAAAAGTGGAGTTCGGTTGGCTTTTTTTTTTTTCTATTCTGAGGAATATTTTCTTTTCCTTTTCAGAGAATCCAGGTCAGGAACTGTATCTTTGTCCAGCCACCTGCAAACAGACTTGAGAACAATGTAAACCACCCTCTGCAGGATATTGATTCTGATGGAGTAAATGTTGATTAAGCAGAATGGTGTTTTTTTTTTTTAACTGGAGGAATTCCAGATCTTTCCTTAGGCCCGTCTCCCCAGGGAAATGAGCTCTATCCTCAAAAATCTACAGAAAACCTGAGTAAGAATGAAGATTTATGATGGGAGACGCTGGGCGGAAGACGGCTGGCTATCTGGTGGGCTATCTAGAAGCTCATCTTTGTGTTATTAGAGAAACACTCCCGCTCTTGACAGGATATGGTCTGCTTATCACATAATCTTCTCAAGTTTCATTCCCATTCTGCTTACAAATGCCCCAAATATAAAGAGATGCATTTCATCAAGACAGCCTTTTAAGAGGCAGTTGATCCCAGCTGTTGCCGTCTATCTTAAACACCTACCTTTTCACCCTAGTGTGGAGTTTACATGTCGATAAGGGATGTAAAAAAGGGAACTTGAGAAATCTCAGCAGAGGAAAAACACCGAGGCTGTCTCCGGGGATTGAAGTAGGAATAAGAGCTCAGGAAGCTCTAAGTTCCAGAACACCCCTTCTTTTCAGAGAGGAGCCCTGGGGCGATGCTGGCCTGCCCCAGGCCTTGAGCTGACCTCAAATACCAGGGACTGGAAACCCTTTACCAGGCACATAAGCTGAGGGTTTCATTGCCTGCTACTTTGGCATTTTCTTGTCAAGAGCTGGTGGTAAAACAGAAGTGAAAGATGCAGGTAGGAACAGGAGAGCCAGACCTGGAAGGTTTTGGCTCACCCATGGACCCTCCGTCCTGGCATTGTCCATGCTCATCCAAGATGAATTCTCAATACCTGCTTTCATGACACACATATGTAGACCTGGGATGCATTCCCAGATGGCCAAGTGGGATATGCTGGCAAATGACCTGTGAGTTTTCTCTCACTCTTGAGTCTGCAAGCTCAGAAAGCCAGGGGTTCTTGGAGATTGCTAAGTCCGGAAGACTTTTATGCAGAATACGGAGTGGGAGGTTAGAATTAAGTATTAAGTGGGCAAAACAGGAGGGGTGGTTTCAGAGTCCTGCTTGGGTCCTGTTGTAGCTGATGCAGCCCGTTGTAGCTGATGGGGTGGAGGCGGGGAGGTATCTCCTTTGTTGGAGAAGAAATAAACCTGTGACTGTGAATCCAGTCTGCTCCCTCCTAAAGACTGGGCTGCAGTGTTTGAAGTCGGGACTGGTGTGTTTCGGGAAGCTGGCTACATCAGGTTCCCATTAGTCCAGGCAGCCGCACCAGTGGGTTCACACCGCGACATGGTAACAATTAAGCCTTCTGCTACTGGTCCTTACCCTGAGGTGAGGCTCTTTTCCTTTTTACCAATGTGACTTAAAGTTGCCCTGGTTTCCTTGTGGCTCGATTTCCTGCAGATTCCCGTTACTTCATGTCTAATCTTCTGAGACCACTCATTAGACCACACAAATTGGAACAATTGTCTCCAGCACACAGATCCTGTTCAAGACCCTCAGTGTACCTAGGAAAAAGACTATCTCTCTGAAACGTGAGAGTTACTTCCTGTGTAAATAGACGAATTACAAAAAATCAGAGGTATAAATATTAGGGAAAATAAACTAATTATACGCCCATACCCTGAGGCATGCTAAAATTATTTTCTTCCTTTAAAAAAAAAAGCAGTGGGTTAGAACAATTATTTCCATTTTCAGTGATAAGAGAGATAATACATGTACAAATGACTGTAGTATGAAGCAGAAAAACAAAAAGATACCATTACATTCTATGGTTTTTCCAAGCAAGAAAAATATTTCTTTATAGAGAATAAGCCAGATCAGAGAAATTGCCATTTGAGTTGAAACTTGAAAAATAGGTGGAATTTGGATACATGGAAGTTGGTGGAAAGAAGAAAGAAGCATTTAGGAGGGGGAACAAAAGCAACAAAAATGTGGGCATTTTCTTAGTACTTATGTAGCTTAAGCACTGATACATGCTATGGGAAGTAAAATAATGTATAGATGCCTCTCAATTTACAACGAAGTTATGTCCTGATAAGTCCATTGTAAGATGAAAATATTGTGAGATGAAAATGCATTTAGGTGCCGGGCACGGTAGTTCACGCCTGTAATCCCAACACTTTGGGAGGCCTAGGGGGGCAGATCACCTGAGGTCAGGAGTTCAAGACCAGCCTGGCCAAAACGGTGAAACCCCATCTCTGCTAAAAATACAAAAATTAGCTGGGTGTGGTGGCGCATGTCTGTAATCCCAGCTACTCAGGAGGCTGAGGCAGGAGAATCGCTTGAACCCGGGAGGTGGAGGTTGCAGTGAGCTGAGATCGCACCACTGACTCCAGCCTGGGCGACAGGGCAAGACTCCGTCTCAAAAAAAACCAAAAACCAAAAACCAAAAAACAAAAACAAAAAGAATGCATTTAATATACCTACCCTAGTGAACATTATAGCTTAGCCAAGCCTACCTTAAACATGCTCAGAACACTTCCATTAGCCCATAGTTGGGCAAAATCATCTGGCAACACAGTGCACTGTAGAATATCAGTTGTTTACCCTCGTGATCCTGTAGCTGCCTGGCAGCTGTGGCTCACTGCCCAGCATTGAGAAAGAGAATCATACTGCTTTCTACTGAATGTATATTCCTTTCGTACCATTGTAAAGTTGGAAAATGTTAAGTTGAACCATTGTAAGTTGGGAGCTATCTGTAAGACATAGGTCCTGCCTTCAAGAGGCCTTCATTTGAGTTGAAGTGATGAAACAAACACAGGATAGAAATAACTTAGAGAACAATGTAAGACGTATGATCTTAAATCACTGCAGACCTAGGTAACATTTAATTGTGGTATGTAGGTGATAAATAAACATGATTTCAAGTAAAGAGTTGTCGAAGTTTGGTGAAATAGCGAGACCAGATTTGAGGGGGATGATGTTTAGTTAGATGCTTAGGGCTGAAGGAAAGTCATTAAAAGAAAGGAGAAAATGAATGAACTGAGAACAAGACAGGCCACATGCCGCAGACTAGTGGTTCTCCAGCTTCAGTGTGCATCAGACTCATTCAGAGAACGTGTTAATAACATACATGTCCCTGAGCTCCACAGCAGACTTTCTGATTTAGCAGGTCTGGTATGAGGTGTGATGAGTTGCATTCTGGCAAGCTCCCTAGTGATGCTGGTGCACCTGGTCTGGAAACTCACACTTTGAGAACTGCTGTGGACAGATCAGCATGCCCAGAGCACAAGCATTTACTTGGGGAAAATAGTGGGAAATCAGACTGTACAAGGGAAGTCCACCAGAAAAGTATTAAAAATCAGTTTGCTGTAAATTCTCTTCATTTTCCTGATGGTTGATTCCTCATCTGAACAAAACCATAAACACTCTTGACTTTTTCTACTCCCAAATGACTTCTTGGTTTAGCATGAATTACTGAGAAAGAAGAAAATCACGGTTTTATGCCTCCAGAAGAAACTACCATGTTTAAAGCTGGATATCATTTCAGAAGACAGGTTCCATGAATCCCTCTGCAAGACGCATATTCTTAAATAGCTTTACCTCTTCCAGGAAGTGTGGTCTGTTATGGGATTGGTGTTAAGGAGCTTTACACATTGAACGGCCACTGTCAGAGCCAACCCCCTTAA